TCTTTCTTTCTTTCTTTCTTTCTTTCTTTCTTTCTTTCTTTCTTTCTTTCTCTTTCTTTCTTTCTTTCTTTCTTTCTTTCTTTCTTTCTTTCTTTCTTCTTAGATTATGCAACATGCAAGCAGGTGAGAGGGGCAGAGGGGGAAAAAGAGAGGGAGAGAGAGAATCTGAAGCAGGATTCACTCTCAGTGTGGAGCTTGTTGTGGGGCTCAATCCCACAAACCTGGGATCATGACCTAAACCAAAACTGAGAGTCGGCCACTCAACTGACTGAGCCTCCCAGGCACCCCAGACATACAGCAATTCTTTAAAAAGTTCTTTCCACTTTGGGGCTATTATGAATAATGTTGCTATGAAATTTTGTGCACAGTCTTTTGTGTGGACAGGTTTTCAATTCTTTCAATTCACTTTTACTTAGTAAAAATGCTAGGTCATATGGTAATTCTGTTTAACATTTTGAGAAACTGCCAAACTTTTTTTTTTTTTTTTTTTTTGCAAAATGGCTGCACCATTTTACAATTCCACCAGCAATGTATGAAAGTTCCAATTTTTCTACATCATTACTAACATTGTTTATGTCTATGATTTCTAACTATCCTAATGTGTGTGAAGTGGTAACTCATCGTTATTTTGATTTTCATTTCTCTAGTAACTACTGATGCTGAGCATCTTTCATGTGCTTATTGGCCATCTGTATAACTTCTTTGGATATATGTCTTTGGAGAAGTGTCTTCTTTGGAGAAATGCCTATTCAAACTCTTTGACTAAGATCATGATCTTAGCCGAAGTTGGATGCTTAACCAACTGAGCCGCTCAGGTGCCCCCTGATTACTGTAGCTTTATACTGTTTTATTTATTTTAATTTTATTTTTTAAAGTTTATTTATTTACTTTGAGGGGGTAGGGCAGAGAGAGAGAGAGAGAGAGAGAGAGAGAGAGAGAGAGAGAGGAATAATCCCAAGCAGTTTCTGGGCTGTCAGTGCAGAGCCAGATGTGGGGCTTGATCCCAAGAAATCTGAGATCCTGACTTGAGTTGAAATCAAGAGTCAGACGCTCAACTGACTGAGCCACCCAGGTGCCTCGCTAAGTTTTAAAATGAAGAAGCATAAGTCCTCCACTTTTGTTCTGTTCCAAGGTAGTTTTGATGACTCTGAGTTCTTGCATTTTTATATAAATTTTAGGATCAGTTGTCAATTTCTGCCAAAGGGGGTGGGGGGAAAGGCTGAGACGTTGAGAAGGACAATGTTGAATGTAGATTTGGGGAGTAATGCCATCTTAATAATATTAAGCCTTCTGGTCTTCTGATCTAGAACACAGGAAGTTTTTCCATTTATTTAAGACTTCTTTCAGCAATGTTTTGAAGATTTCAGTGTACATGTCTTGAACCTCCTTGTTTAAATTTATTCCTGAATATTTTACTATTTTTGATGGTATTGTAAATTGATTGTTGATTGTTTTCTTACTTTTGCTTTTGGATTTTTCATTGGTGGTGTATTGTCATATAATTAGTTTTTGAATATGAATCTTGCATCTTACAAACTTAACTCATTCATTATTTCTAATAGATTTATGTGTCGATGTGCGTGGATTCTTTAAGATTTTCTGTATATAAGATCATGCCATCTCTGATAATTTTACATCTTCCTTTACAATGTGAATGCTTTGTTTTTTTCATTGCATCATTAGCCTGGATAAAACCTCCAGTACAATGTAAATAGAAGTCATGCGAGTGGACATCCTTGTCTTATTTTTGACCTTAGAGGAAAAGATTTTATTAGCTCATCATGAAGTATGATGTTACCTATGTTTTTGGTTTTTTGTTTTGTTTTGGTTTGGTTTTTTTGTAGATTATCTTTATTAAGCTTGGGAGTTTCATTCTATTCCTAATCGTTGAGTGCTTTTATCATGAAAGTGCATTGGATTATGTCAAATGCATTGTTTAAGTCTATTAAGAGGATCATGTGGTTTTGGTCTTTATTTCATTAATATGGTTTGCAATACTGACTGATTTTTATATGTTGATCCACATATGAATTCCCATGTTCATGAGATAAATTCTGTTTGTCATGATATATAACCCATTTTATATGCTGTTGAATTCAGTTTAATCCTATTTGGTTGAGAATTTTTACTATATTAGTAAAGGATACTGGTTTGTAGTTTTCTTTCCTTGTGGTATCTTTGGTTTTTGTATCAGGGTAATTCTGGCTTCAAAGAACAAGCTGGGAAATGTTCCCTTCTTTACTATTTTCTGGAAGAGCTTGTAAAGGATTGGTGTTAGTTCTTCTTTAAATGTTTCACAGAATTTACTGGTGAGGCCATCTGGGTTTCCAGTTTTCCTTGTGGGACTTTTTGATGACTACCTCAATCTCTTTAGTTACAATAGGTCTATTCAGATTTACTTGAGTCACTTTGGTAGTTTTTTGTTTTTTTTTTTAACGTTTATTTATTTTTGAAACAGAGAGAGTATGAATGGGGGAGGGTCAGAGAGAGAGGGAGACACAGAATCTGAAACAGGCTCCAGGCTCTGAGCTGTCAGCGCAGAGCCCGACGCAGGGCTCAAACTCACAGACGGTGAGATCATGACCTGAGCTGAAGTCGGACACTCAACCAACTGAGCCACCTAGGCACCCCTGGTAGTTTTTTTTTAAATATAAATTTGTTAATTTCATTTAGGTTTTATAATTTTTTTAGCATGTTTATAGTATTTCTTTACAATCCTTTTTTTATTTCTGTAATGATATACAAAGAGTTTAGTCAACCAGGAACAGTCCTCACAAGACTGCCCACACTTTTAACAGCAATTGTAAATTTGGTAGGGAAAACCGTGAAGTGTTTCCAAAAACTCTCTCAGGTTTGGTAATTTAATGGAAGCTCTCACAGAACTCACTAAAAACTATTATGTTTATAATTTCTTGCAGGGAAAGGACACAGGATAAAATTAATCATAGGAAAAGATGCACAGGGCAGAGTCTGGGAGAAGTCCAAATGCAGGTTTTTTGTTTGTTTTTATTTTATTTTATTTTATTTTATTTTTATTTATTTATTTTTCAATATATGAAATTTATTGTCAAATTGGTTTCCATACAACACCCAGTGCTCATCCCAAAAGGTGCCCTCTTCAATACCCATCACCCACCCTCTCCTCCCTCCCTCCCCCCATCAACCCTCAGTTTGTTCTCAGTTTTTAAGAGTCTCTTATGCTTTGGCTCTCTCCCACTCTAACCTCTTTTTTTTTTTTTCCTTCCCCTCCCCCATGGGTTTCTGTTAAGTTTCTCAGGATCCACATAAGAGTGAAACCATGTGGTATCTGTCTTTCTGTATGGCTTATTTCACTTAGCATAACACTCTCCAGTTCCAACCACGTTGCTACAAAGGGCCATATTTCATTCTTTCTCATTGCCACGTAGTACTCCACTGTGTATATAAACCACAATTTCTTTATCCATTCATCAGTTGATGGACATTTAGGCTCTTTCCATAATTTGGCTATTGTTCAGAGTGCTGCTATAAATATTGGGATACAAGTGCCCCTATGCATCCTGTATCCCTTGGGTAAATTCCTAGCAGTGCTACTGCTGGGTCATAGGGTAGGTCTATTTTTAAGTTTTTGAGGAACCTCCACACTGTTTTCCAGAGTGGCTGCACCAATTTGCATTCCCACCAACAGTGAAAGAGGGTTCCCGTTTCTCCACATCCTCTCCAGCATCTATAGTCTCCTGATTTGTTCATTTTGGCCACTCTGACTGGCGTGAGGTGATATCTGAGTGTGGTTTTGATTTGTATTTCCCTGATGAGGAGCGACGTTGAGCATCTTTTCATGTGCCTGTTGGCCATCCGGATGTCTTCTTTAGAGAAGTGTCTATTCATGTTTTCTGCCCATTTCTTCACTGGATTATTTGTTTTTTGGGTGTGGAGTTTGGTGAGCTCTTTATAGATTTTGGATACTAGCCCTTTGTCCGATATGTCATTTGCAAATATCTTTTCCCATTCCGTTGGTTGCCTTTTAGTTTTGTTGATTGTTTCCTTTGCTGTGCAGAAGCTTTTTATCTTCATGAGGTCCCAGTAGTTCATTTTTGCTTTTAATTCCCTTGCTTTTGGGGATGTGTCAAGTAAAAAATTGCTACGGCTGAGGTCAGAGAGGTCTTTTCCTGCTTTGTCCTCTAGGCTTTTGATGGTTTCTTGTCTCACA